AGACCCAGTTTTTTTTACAGTTATGTATGTATGGTATACGGGGTATTTTGGATGGAAACTCATTAAGCTTTGTGCTTACAGTTTTATGTTTATGGTTTCAAGTACTTTCAGTTCGAAAGGAAGGGTCCGACATGATCACACTGCATCCACCAACATTCCGCATTTTATGACATGATTTGTACTCTGATAACTATAGTATATATTATCATGTTTTGATGGGTTTAGAAATGAATGAATGATGTTTCTATTGGCTTTTAAAATGAAATTTTTACTTAGAAACTTTTGGGACAATACACATTTGCTATTGATATTTCCAGAACGAAACCAATTAAAAGCGATCAAGATAACGTATAAGAAGAGTTATCTAAAAATTGAGATTTTGGATCTGGTAATAGAAGATTTCACTATTTACACTTTTTATCCTCATATAGTTTTAATTTGACAGTTTTCATAATTTATAATTTTAAAGCTAAATTATTGGTATTTTATAAGTTATAATTTTGGTCAATTATTATACTTTAAAGTTATATTTTTGGTCTCTTACATAATTTGTTTTTACAATTTTCATTATTATCAATATTACTTTTTATTCTTATAATTTCTTAATTAAATTGTCATATTTTTGCATCCCGCCTTCATATATAATTTTTGGATCGAAACTTTATTTTATATTTTTATGGTCCACTTTGCAAATAAAATTTTCACCGCAACCTACGAGCTAACAAAACACTAGTTAGTCATCTAATTATCATGAATCGTAGCATTATGTATATGTATAAGGTGATTTTAAATAAACCAGCTTAAACGTAACCACATAACCACATAACCACATGAACCATGTTCTGATTCTTTCACTTCAATTGATCCATATTTATGATTGATTTATTCTTTTTAATATAATAATTGTGTTATACAATATGAATTTTATTTTTTTAAATAACTTAAATACGTTCAAATCGATTCCTTATACTTGCAATAATACCTTTTATTTATTAGGTTTTTAATATATATCATTAGGTGCGGGTTAGTGGCGTTACCACCGACATCGTGCCCTCCTACGAAGGTACCCTCCTACCGCCAATTAAAGCAACATGCAGACTATCTAATGTGTGAACAATTACTCTCTCTATTCTATCCTTTTTAGATGTACTTCATACATAAAAACTTATACAAAATAGTTTTGCATGCTTTTAATTAGTCTGTGAATAAATTGTGTGTTTTTAATATTTTTTGAATTTGTTTTATATGATTTTAATTAGTTTTTATTTATTTAATCGAATATTATAGGTTCGACGTCTCCGTAACCTAGCACCTCTGTTTGTTTCCATTTCTAGAACCATTTGCAAGATTACGAGTCTTGAGAAGTACTCGTAACCATTTTGGTATCTTGATTTGTATTCTATTGTGTTTTTATCATCGGTTTCACGAGTTGTAGGTTTCTTTCCCCTCAATTGAATACAAGTTGCATTAACATTTTTTTTGGGTTTTCCCTTCAAATACACACGAGATGCATGTTTTCCCCTTCAAATGATTTATGGAAAACAAATGTTCTTGATGCAAAACATGTGTTCGATTTTGTTTTGGTTCATTTTAGATCCGGTTTTCGAGAGTAAAAAACAGGGACAAAGTTAGGCTCGCTGAAAATTCATGTTGGCATGAGATAATGACCAGAATTGTCGCCGAAGATGCAACTCAAACCCATAAACTGGTTTACCTGCAATATCAGGTAATAATGGTGTACTTCAAAAAAAAAGTTTAAGGGATAATACTCCACCCAAAAAGCAAAATGACCAAATATGCACACATAAAATAGTTTCTTACCCTATTAAGTCCCTCTATGTATTCGTTTGTTTAGGACTTATTTATTAAGCCAAAGCCATTGCAAACCATAAACCATCATCAAGCTCAAAAATAGAACAAAAAAAATTCGAGATTCCTTCTTTCTTATTTAATATTACTCAAATTGAGTATTATTATATTCGATCTTTTTACTTTCCCCATGTTTCTAAGATTTTGTTATATTTTGTTGGCACGGTCGTATCATGTTTTCCCTTGTGAGTGACATGATCATGCCATCTATGATCTATTCGGTTTGTCACCATATAAGTGATACAGCTATATCATTCATAAAGATGAAGGGACATGGCCTTGTAGGTCGTTTTGTCCACATGGTTCTTTGTAAATAAAGTCGAACATTGAATTTAAGACATGATCCCCTTTACTACGAGCACTTTCTAGTGATTTCAAAAATCAACATAGGCAACTGGAATAGAGAAAAATAATAAACACCAAGACTTCCAATCCAAGGTTCGATATAAAAGTGCTAAATGGCCTCTGTAAGATAAAGAATCGACATTCAATTTCGAATATTTACGGAATTACTGAATTCCCAAATAAATAAAAGAGAGTTTATTTGCCTTACAAACCAAAACATTAGCAATGCCATTAACCTCTTCGTTTGTAACATTAACTCCTATAAACAACTTTTTGAAAGGTTAATGCCAAGACTTGAAACAAAGTATAAGAGGCGTAAAAACGAATAATGTTTCGAGCATTCTTGAGTGACCAATCACTCTTAACCAAAGCATCATCCGCATAAAAACGATGGGACAACTAACCCATTTGAATTTTTTTTTAAGACAACCCTATTTGTTAGAAATTTAAGGTATAGAAAGGCTTGAAAATTTTGAGAATTGTGGTTTATTAAAGTATTTGGGTGGTACTTCCAATCTTTAATCGGATAAGACTCAGAATTGAGAGCAAGAACATAAAATATTGTTGTTATGAATTTCGTGATTGTTATTGTACCAGGAAAAATGATGACCAAAATGATTAAGTAGTTCATTTGTCTGAAAACTGTCAATGCAATTTTCTTTGTCCAAAAAAACTACTCCAACTGTCAAAACCAATAACAGTCACTAAAACCGGATCATTAATAAAGCTCGACCCCAGTCAGGGGCTCTGCCCCTTGGACCCCGCTCCTAGGGGCGCTGCCCCCAGACCCCCGTTCGCTTAGGGGCTTCGCCCCTAAATGACAGACTACTTTGAATCTTCAATAAACTTAAATAAGTGTACACTCTGCATCTTCCTTACTTGTTTAATATTAATCAAAATTGAATTTTGGTCAACAAGTCAATCCATTACACTTAAATACACATTGATGATCCAAAATCACCAACACTATTTTATCGCTATGTGAAGACCTTTCATCACAACAAGAAATAAAAAAGGAGAAAGGAAGTCGCATTGTCTAAGGTCATGCTTGATAAAGAATTTTTTGTAAGGAGAACCGTTTACCAAAATGGACACCATATATGATTTTAATGAGCCTTGATCCAGCCTCTCTATCTTTCCCATAGCTTCCATGTTTTTTAACAAATCTTCCCAAGTTACCATATTGTAAGCTTTTTCAAAATCAACCGTGAAAAAACATAACACGCTTTCTATTATTTTTCTCCCAATCAACAACCTCATTAACAACCAACATACCATCAAAAATTCATTGCTTCTTAAGGAAGTACGATTACCATACCAATAATCAACGAAAGAACCTGACTAAATCTATTAGCAAGAATCTTTGGCACAATCTTGTATTGAAAACCGATTAAGCTTTTTTTTTTTAACGACTTAAATTTATTCAAAAACTAGCAATGAGCTAGAAGAAAAAGAACATTACAAAAGAAGTAAAGGGTTTTTTAACCACCCGGTCCAAGACATACGTGATTTTATATTTCTGTTAGAAAACCACAAAAACGAATAATCTAAAATCGAATCAATAATGAACTCCTTATGACATGAAGTATTTCCAAAAGCTAAATCATTCCGAAACTTCCAAAGAGCCCACCACGTTGTCTGAATAACCACTTGAAGTACAATTCTCTTCATTTTAGAAATTCCCATCCGATTAAGACAACTGAACAAACAAGCACACATTCAACCACCGAGCCACAGCATCCCAAGTACGTGCTGATATCTCACATTGCCCTAACAAATGTTGAATATTTTTCGTCTGAAGATGATAAGACGAACAAAGAACCGACTGAACATCCACTCCGCGATTAACAAGATTTGTCCTAAGAGGAAGGCGATCCATGAGAAGACGCCAAGTAAAAATATTTACCTTCCTAGGAAGGTAAACATTCCAAATCATATCACTCTCTACATCCGATAGCATTAATTGCTCAACATACCGTCTAATGCTTTTGACAGTAAAGTTGCCATCACCTTCCAAATCCCACCACTTGATCATACCGGACCCCACACCATACCAATTAGATTTGTGAAGATTCATCTTTAAACCCGACATAAGGTAAAAACAGTTAAGCGCCATTACTATATTTTCAATGTTTGTCGTAGACCATTCTCCGAGAAACAAAACATCACCTGCATAAAAAAAGATGTGACAAAATAAGATTACCCGGGCCCACCGCGAAGCCCCACAACTTTTGCATCTTCAAGTGCGACATGGAGTCCTTCCATTGCAATAATGAACAAGAAAAGAGAGTGGATCCCCTTGCCTAAGACCCCTCTCGATACGGAATTCCTGAGTAGGACTCTCACTCACTAACACCGAAGCTTTGGCCGAGTTTAAAAAAGCTCGAATCCAACTCTGCCATCTTTCTCCAAAACCCATAAATCCAAGCAACCGATTAAGCTAATGAGCCTATAATCATCGACAAAAAAAGGAACTTGAAACATCATAATCTAAGCAACAAACGACCTATTGTATCCTTTAGGAAACCGAAAAAGTAACGAAGTCGTTGATATCTTCCTTTAGTAGGCCTCAATATGTTTTTTATGAATCCAAAAGTAAAACCATATCGTTTCCACATGGAGTGAGCTTAACATGTTGCATAGACCCATAGACTTATACGAAAAGAGTTAAATGTATAATTTAATAAAACATAATAATTAATAACGTTCTAAAATAGCAAAAAAATAATCATCCTATGAAAAAGGTCGCAATATTTTCACTAAGAATCAAATACTTATAATATCATCTAACGAATCATAAAACTTTGTACATACATAGTTTTCATCGATCACAACCCGATCCACAATACATTAGGACCCACAACAACATAGTCAGTCGACTCTTTCTCTTTGTTTTATCTTTTCCTTTCACGTGTATACAAGAACAATAGTACATTCTATAAGTCAAAATGCAACACCTCATAGACTATTGAAGCATTCAAAAGTCAGATGCCATTTTTGACATTTAATTACAAAATCAAATAAATATAAATATTCATATTAACAAACCGCAACCGGCTCCCTTAACATCATATTAAAATCATCCTTCAATGGCTTCACCCTCATAATATCACTTCCATTATGCATCATTGCAACAAACTCATTGTAATCTATACGCCCATCCTACAAATTAACAACAAAATGAATTTTGATTCATGTAAATATTATTAGTTTTTGGATAAATAGATTAGTGAAAAACTTACATTATTTTGGTCAGCTTCTTTGATGATTTCTTCTAAATGAACATCATCTACTCCAAATTCTTTACATGCTTGTTGTAGTTCATCAAGTGTGATATAACCACTTCCATCTTTATCAAAATATGAAAAAGCAGAAAATAAATGATCTTCTCTATCGACTTTGTTCATATGCAATGTTGCAGCTACAAATTCTTCATAGTCAATAGTACCACTATTGTCAATATCCGCCTGCATTTTCATTTATAATCAATCAAAATTCAAGAAATGCAACAAAGAAAGGAAAAAAGATTATGATAAACTACAAAAAAAAAATCATTATACTTTAGCGGTTTTGCAGTTTAATGTTTAACCACTAATACTTTATCTTTTTTCCAAACAAACACATAAAGTTTCAAACTTTTTTCCAAATTAACCATTTTTACCTAATATATCATCACGCCAAAATGGTTGAATTGGAAAAAATAAAGTGTAAGTGGTTTTTCTGTAATTTGCTCAAACGATTAAATTAGTAATACTTACAGATTGCATTAGATCATAAATCTCAGACTCTGTAAGATTAGAACCAAAACGTTTGAGTCCAGCTTTAAGTTCTTCAAAAGTTATATAACCACTGTTGTCTGTATCTATTATCTTAAACATTTGTTTTAATCCTGCAATTTCTTCTTCCGAGAGTTTTGAAGCAATAACCTATAAAAAACATAAAATGGGTTTGAAAAAAGATTACATTTTTAGAGTGGGGTTATGATTTATCAGCATTTTTTTAAAGAGCTTGAAAATCTTACCCTAAGAGCCATTTTCTTGAGCTTATTCATGGCAGAAAACTGAGTTAAACGACTCAAAACAGCAGAATCAAGAGGCTTATCTGGTGCAACACCATCTTCACTGATCCATGGATGGCCTAATCGTAAATAATGTTCAATAAGAAGCCAAAAGAACACTAATTTCTTTTATAGGAAAATTTTTAACAACCAAGACTTACAAAGAACACCATGAGCTGTTATTCGTCTTTTGGGGTCTTTAATAAGCATTTTCCTAACCAAATCTTTAGCACTTTCAGAGATACTAGGCCATGGATCTGAGGAAAAGTCGAGTTTACCCCTCAAAACCTCTTCAAATATCTCATTTTCAGATTCTGTCATGAAAAAAAAAAAGAACATAAATTCAGTCACTAAAAAGAAAGTTTTATGTATTTGATGAGTTATTAACTTATTAGTCTTTTATTCTTTTAGACTTACCTCCCCAAAATGGTGGGACCCCACAAAGAAGAATGTAAAGAATCACACCAGCACTCCATATATCTGCTTCAGGACCATAATTTTTAAGCAAAATTTCAGGGGCAACATAGTAAGGGCTTCCAACCACATCTACAAATGTTTCACCTATACAATAATTCAAAAATACATTAACATAAATATTCAAGAAACATATAGTATATTCAAGAAAAGGATATGAACGATTAAAAAGGTACCTGGTTTAAAGAAAACCGATAATCCAAAATCTATGGTTTTAAGAGGCGAATCTTCATGTTCATCAACAAAAAGAAAGTTCTCAGGTTTAAGATCACGATGCATAACACCTAAAGAATGACAAGCTTCAATCACAGATACAATAGTTCTAGCAAGATCAGCTGCTTTTCTTTCTGAATAATGTCCTTTTTTGGTAATTCTATCAAACAATTCGCCTCCAGCACAAAGTTCCATAACCAAATGAACTGCAACTGAATCTTCATAAGCCCCTTGAATTGAAACCACATTAGGGTTTCCAGATAAATGATGCATGATTTCAATTTCCCTCCTGACATCTTCCACATCATCATCAGTTAACAGCTTTCTTTTCGCGATTGATTTGCATGCGAATTCTTTTCCTGTGGTTTTCTCTATGCAGAGAAAAGTTGTACCAAATTGACCATGTCCTAGCTTTTGACCTAAGTTGTAGTACTCTTTCAGATGCCCAGTTTTTGTTTTCAATACTTTGTCAGCTTGTAAACCTGCACTCAACATTCTCTTCACATTGTTTTGCTTTTTGGGGTTTGGATTTGATGAAGCCTTTTCCTTTTCAGATTGTTTTATGTCTATTTTGATTTCTTGATATGAAACTATGGGTGGAGGTAGAGGTGGAGGTGGTTTGGTGTCGTTTTTGGCTATGATCACAAGTTTTGGAGGTGAATTTTGAATAGGGGTAGGAGGTTTTGGATCTTGGTGTATTGATGGTGGATCTTTGCTAAGCTGTTCGTTTTTGTAGTAGATCATCTCTGGTGATCGAGACCACCAGTATGGATGTGATATTGATTGGAAAAATCCATCCTTTGAGTAACATGATACACATACATTTCCCATCTTAAAGTTCAATATAATCCTTCTACACAACAACAAATAGTCGATAATATGAGCTACTTCCCTTTTCACTAAAGGAATCGGTGTGTAGACATTTAAACAAACAGTTGGTGTGCAACTGCAAATCACCCGAATCAGAGAAAGCACTTATACAAATCAAACCAAAGTACCCATAAAAGCTTTCAAAGACGTGTAATTTTTCACTAAAAATCGAAATTGGGAGGTGGGTGTGGTGGGAATCTGAAAGAAATGATGAAAGAGTAGTGGGTATGAATATGATCGAAAATCTGCAACTTACAATGGGTTTACTAGGTCTCTTTAGACAAGTAGTAGCCTTGGAAAAAAGGGGAAGTTTGAATGTGTCTCGTGGACGAGTCATTTACGTGTTTATATATAGGAGGACGGCGGACAGCGAGTGAGAAGCGTGGAGGTCGCAGAAATTGACGAGGGAAATGATGGAAAGTGACGGGTTTTTCAGTTGGGATCTTTTCAAACGCGTTAGGCAATAGGATTAGGCACACACATGATTACACATATCTTCGTATCATATTAAATTATTAAATACCTTTTTGTTTTTCATATAAATTGCATGCTTTTACTTTCTAATTATTTTTTTTACTTTCTAATTATTTTCTACCCATAAGAAATGGTGATATATGTGAATAAAATTGATAATATTGTAAGATATTTGTCATCATTTTATATGAAGGAAGATATTTAATTTTTCATAATCAAATAAGATGATTTAAGAATGAATCATATGTTTTTAACTGTGGTATCAAATAGTTTGAATTTGACCGAGTCAAAACCAATTTTTACATTTTACAATACTCATTAAAAGACATATCAAACATAAACCCAAATTAGAAAGGTAAATGTCATATAAAGTTTAAAGATATAAAAAAAAGCAAAAATAGATTTTTTTGCATGTTCTAATTTTTTGAATATGTTGTGTAAGACGGCTTAGTAGTTACTAGTTGTTTGACTAGATTAAAGATCTTGCTTAGTTGTTTTTTTGGATGAAATATGAATATCGTAAGAATCATCAATTGATGGAATAATTAATTCTAACCATTTGGAATCTAATTTCGGATGATATTAAGTTACTAATTTTTATCACTAATTAAGATAACTGCCCATTTTTACATTATATTATGAAGTATATTATTATATTCACAAATCAATCATCTCTAAATATTATTAAAAGAGAACCTTTAATTCATCAATGAAGCAATCAGGGCCATTAATTGTATTTCAATCATGTAATTTCCACCCTTAGATCAAATTGCTGACATCATATTCCCTAAATATAATCCAAGCATTTAATTATAAAATCTTTAAATTTACCAATTACATTTCAAATATCATTACATTTAATTATAAAATCTTTAATTATAGAATCTATCTATACTTTCTATAATATATTTCACAATTCGAGCACAATTACATTTAATTATAGAATCTTTAAAATCAATAATTATGTTGTCGTTTAAAACATATCATTCTATTTATATATAAGATATCAGTTTCTCCATAAATCTGGCCAAAAACATGAACAACCGCCCCATCTTTCTCCTCTATTTTTCTCTCTTAAACCATAATTCTCTAATACTCTTCGTCCTCATGTCAATGGTTGTGCTTCAATTGATGCTTTGTGTGTTCATAACAGAATGTAGCACCATAAGGTGGTTCCTTTTTGCTCATGTATTCTTAGAATTTGCGTATTGCCTCTTCCTTGCATCTTTAATTATCACACCTCTGTTTTGGCTTCACACAAATATCTACAAACTGAAGCATACATTTCCTTTAAGACATCTTTTGACAATCTTTGTCATCATTAACCCTAATTAATATTTTCCATAATTTAACTCCCTTATTTATAGTTTTTCGCTTCAAAATTCAAACCCGTTTAGTTTTTTCTTTCTTAAAAAAGTCATTAAATAAGCATACTAATAATTATGTTATCTTTAGTATATATTAAAATAAAAATCTTATGACATCATCTTAAACAATCTGGACCCTTGATTGTATTTTAATCATATGTTTTCCACCCTTAGATTGCTGACATCATCCTCCCAAAATGGAATGTATTTAATTCCAATAAGAGTTTTTCACAAAATTAACTTAAATTCGTTGAAATGGATTGTATTTAATTCTAATAAAATACTCCCAAATTTTAAATCTTGAATTTTCGGTTATCAAGGTTTTAACTTTAAAAACATATTACTAAAAATCATTTCAATTAAGACATTAAATAACAACCATTAATATAAATCTGTTTATATTAGTAAACCATTAATATAAAATCTATTTTTATTAGGAAACCATTAATACCAAAAAATCAGATTCAAATTATCACATACATATATGATTCATCTCTGAATCCGCGGCTCACACTTATTTTCAATTGTTGATTTTCTTCAAACTTTCTCCTACAACATCATTCTTATTGCTTATAACTTTCATCATCATTCTCCGCTTCAAACCTTCGTTGTTGTGCACTAGAAGGTCAGTACCTTCTTTCGCTTTTTTATATTTTTTTCGATTATTTTTTTGTTCCTGTATCAAATATATGTATTTATATATTTCGATTTTCTTTGTCACAAATTACATGATATCGGTTAACTACTTTTCTGAAACTTTTCAAATAAATAGGAAAATATATTACATACCTTTAATCCAGAAAAAAATAATAATGTACTTTGATGTAAACCAGTTAAAACACAATATAGCAAAGTACTTTGATGGAATGACAAATGCACCCCACCCGTTTTCCTGTTCATTGTAATCAATTTTTTGTGTATTCGTTTAGCATGATACTTCCATTTTTTATCCAAAGGGTAAATCATTAATTTAGTATGTACAATGTTCATCAGAATCGTAAATCAGTAATTTAATTTAAACATTGATCAAATCATGAGCTGCTGCTATTTCTGTTTGTTTGATTACCTCAACCTGGTTACTGATTTTGATTGTCTATAATATCTTAAATTGGTGGTTGAGTTACAGGGATTGCAATCTTGATATAGGACTCAAATAATTTGTTAAGATAAATATATGGTAATACCGAATGGAAAATGGAGGATAAGGGTATAATAGGAATAAAGAGATATGTTTTTAGTGTTTGAATGTAAATTAATATCCTAATATGATGGTTGAATTACAACATTTCTAACTTTAAATTGAAATCATAACTAAAGGTTATTGATATTGTTGGATGAATTTTTTTTAAATGCTAAGTATGATTTTAAGGTTTAGGGGCAGAAAGGTAATTTTATTTGGGATAGAATAAAGAAGGAAGATTCGAATTTACCTTTTGAAGGTATCAATAAACTCCTAAATATATGTGATTTATTTTAATTTAATTTCAAATTAAATGCAGGAAACCTTTAAGTAAGGAAATATAAGGGCAAAAGGGTAAATTGACTTACGAAACTAGAAAAGCATTGGGCTGGAAAAGCAATTCAACAATAGATATTAAGATGACGCGTGTACTAAAATGATTCTTTTTGCATGATACTTCCATTTTTTATCCGAAGGCTAAATCATTAATTTAGTATGGACAATGTTGATCAGAAGGGTAAATCGGTAATTTAATTTGAAAATGGATCAAATCGGTTGTTGCTACTATTTCTATTTGTTTGATTATCTCAACTTGGTTACTATTCCTGACCTTATTGTCGAATATAATAACTTTATATTATACCATTTTTAGGAATGTATATTTAAAGTACATTGTTATACCATTTTTAACAATAACCTTTTGTGATTTTTTCATGTTTTAAATGTCTCTTTTAATTTATCTTTTATTCACTATTAATGGGATGGATTTTAAAAAAAATTTAATCTTGAAAGGGTTAAACTATAATTATTCTAATTTGTATATATTTTTTTACAGTAAATACAACCATTCAAAGAATGCTTTCTATGACTAACAAAATTATGTTTCTATTTTTGAAATCTCATAAAACATTACATAAGGTTTTTTTGGCTTAACATATTACATCATTCAGTCTAGATTAAGTCAGACAAAACAACAATGTATAACTTTTCATATTAAATGCGTAACCTATTAACTTGGATTCGATACTCAACAATCTCTACAAACTGCAATAAATATGTGTTTTTTTACAAATTATAGCAACATATATACTTACCATGAAAAAAAACTTTTAAGTTTAAAATAAAACTTAGTTTTTTTACAGGTAACAACAATATACACCACTTAATATCAACATCCTTGCCTACCAGTTTCTCTAAATATTAATACATGAACTATATCAAAAGTAGGCTAAAAAGTTAGAATCTAAATTAAGAATGATCTTATTAACTTAAATATCAGATTTATGGTATTATAGACAAATTTTTTATTTGATTCTTAAATTTTCTATGTGGTCGTATTTATATGGTAGAATCAAATTGTATAATTACAATTAACATTTATTTATTATACTTTGTATGTAGGTATGAAATAATAATAAGTATATTTTTGAAGGAACATTGTTAAAAATAATTTACATAATCTAAATACATATTAATTTAGTTCATTTCCAACATTTTCCTGTAAGATTGGATTTTTTTTTGTCATGTTACATTCAAAAGATGGGTTATTAGAACAGGCACCTTAGGTGTTTGACGAAATGTCTCAAAGAATCTGACACAAGTTCTCTACACTCACCTCACAACCTGGTATAAATTTTGGTTTTTTTTTTCTAGATTTTTAGCATCATGTGTTTTTTTTTTTTTTTGCAACTTTGTAGTGTTGCATGTTTTTTTTTTGTCTTGTCCTCAAGTTTTTCTATCTCTGATAGGGCTTTATTTTTTATATTTATTGTAAACTATCGATTCAATCTATTGCACTTTGTTATGACTTTTATCAACGTCATAAGATTCTAATAAATTGTCAATTTCTTGATCTTTTAGAAAAAGATATTTTAACTGTATTACCATCTACGGCTGTGGTATTCTATTTTGTTGATTAAACGATTTATGATTTGGCTAGGATGGTTTTTACGGATTATGTTTGGTCTGATAATTGTTTCTGTCATCAAAAAATACATCCAACAAAAAGTGAAAGACGATTTTTTTTTAAATTAATACCATCATCTAACTATAAAGGATCTTTTTTCAATTTTGATGGCATGTAACAGAGTTTTGGTTGAAATTTTCAATTTTTCGGCATATAACAGATTATGACTTAAATAATGATATTAGATATTTTGGCAATCAGTTTTTCTTCGGTTCTTAAATTATTTTGTAGAAAGTAGTCCAATTTGGTATTATTGATCTCACAAAAGGCAAGTCTCATGTCTCTTTTAGCGTATCCATTGAGTTTAGAAGTTTCTTGTCTATATTTGTTTTTAAAAAATGTTAAATCTTGATCTAATGAATGTAAGTCTGCAGGTAATAAAGGTGCAAGAAGAGCAAAGTATTAAATATGGGATGATCATGGCTATGTCAAGCCAAAATAAAATTCTAAAGTAAGAAATGCTAAATTCAAAAGGTAAGCACTTGTAATGCAGAATACATATTATGCTTCCCAAATAAATAACCAAAAACTAACCTCTTCCAAAAACTAACCTGTTCGTATCATAATAACAAGTAAGTTGTGTGCCAATTATGTATTTTGACATTTTCAATGAGTCACGGGCAATATCTAAATCGAGCAAACATAACTGTTTTTATATTTATTGGTTAGAGTTTCTTTATATTTAATATTGTGGGGGGTTTATGTGGATCATTTCAAATGAACATAAATAAGTTGCTATTTTTTTTTAACATAAACAATTATATTTCACAATATAACCATAAAATAACAATTTATTTTGAAAGTACATTGTCAAATGTTGGATTATACTTGCGTAGACCTGTTTTCGCGCATGGTCAGCTATATGTAGTTGTTTCCCGTGTCACAAGTAAAAAAAAGTTTGAAGTTACTTTGTGACGAGGAAGGTCATTCAACTAATAAAAAAAATATTGTCTACAAAGAGGTCCTTCAACGACTATATATATTTGCCGATTTCAGTGTATTTTCTATATATTTCAATAATATCAATAACCCTGGTTTTTTTTTAATTATTCTGTAATATCTATATACATTTATATTTTATTTATATGTTTCCCCGCGTTTAACACGGGTCATAATCTAGTTAAGATACCAAAAGAAGATTGAAATGCAATCTCATACCGATCGAGCACTTTCTGTTTTAATAAAGTTCTTTCGAATCAAAGAACAGCCACTTTATAAAGTCATATTTATCTTTTATATAAAAAATAAGTATATAGTAATATAACTTATAGTGGAGGAGCACTTGCACGACTTGGGTGTTTGACAAACGGCTGCTATCGAATTAAATAAAATAAAAAAAAACAAATAACATCAAGACAAAATTACCCTCCTTCCATTTACCTAGAAATAATCCAACAACTAATGATTATATATATTATATATAAAAACATTAATTTGGACAAATAATAAACATATGGATAGGATGTGTAACTAAGTCGACCGGCGGCCGGCCGCCTTTGCCGGAGACAGCTTAATTCTTGTATGTATCACAATGGATTTTGAATGTTAAATTAAACACCAACTGATTCATATTCTTAACTTCCAAACCTTGTATTCATTTCAATTTTGTTTTATCAATGACTTCACTAACAACCAAATTCCATGACTATCAACTAAATACATCATAAGTTATTATCTAACGGGTATTGAATTATTTCGAACCCCCTTTGGCCCCATGTAAATAATCTCAATTACCTAGAATAGTTAATGAGTTATTCACTAAAATGGTTATATAAAGTGGAAATATAACGCCACAAAGTCACATTATTTAGGAGTTTAACAAAATAACCACAATAATCACGAAGATATGAGAGTGACCTCAAAGGCAAGTTTCTTTTGACACAAAGCACCACCGATAAACTTTCGTGAGTTCAATTTTTTCTTGCGTGGAGAATATTTATGATAGATTCAATGTTTCCAACAAATAAGCTCGAAATTGATTCACAAAGTGTTTTTTTATTCCATTGCGAGTATTAATGTTTTGCTCGTTCCATGCGTAGAGTTCAATCATGCAGACATGTGATATAATGTATAATATCTAAAAAGTTGCGAGGCTACGTGTATCGACCTATTTAAGGGTTTTGAGATTATATATGTAGGTACATGTATAATATTTGTAATGTGATTCATGTATAATATTTGTAATGTGATTATTGGCATTTCGAATTGTTAATCATTCATTATTAGCGATGAGCAGTTAGTACCACCAAATTTTGATCTTGTAACGGTATCCTACCAGTACCAGTACCGAATTTAAACATATGGAATGGTACTGGTACTCTAAAATTACGAAATTCGGAATTTGGTACTGTTGGTACCCATGTTAGTACCAATAATCAGCCTCATCCTGCTATCATTACTAGTAATATTAGTTCGGTTCGGTACGCGGTGTCGTTTTTCACCCATTTCGATATTCGGAATTCTCATATCGGTACCGGTTCAGTTACATGCTCTAACATATTCATTATATATGATCTCGTTTCGATTGTGTTTCCATACATCAATGCATATTTTTTTTTGTTCCCAAGTTGATACTGATTGATGGTGTTCCTCCTCCCCTATATATGATGAAGACTAGCATATAAGAAGGAAAACATGCAATTTATTATCATTTTCGAATAAAAACGAAAATGAAAATTCCTTAATGCTGCAAAGTAGCATTAAGGAAGAGTAGAAGAATGTCTTTCCATTGTAATGTTGCAAGATAAGGCAAACAAAAATAATGATTAATTAAGGATTAAAGCATCCTTTGCTACAAAAGAAGGCCACCAATATAAAAGCAAGCAAAGGGCGGCCATGACTTTCTTTTCATTGAGTATGTTTAGAATATCATAATTTTACTATATTTTGTTAGAAGAAAAAATATATATTTTTTCTAGTAGATGTATTGTTGGTTCATTATTTAGCAAATAACAAGTCTCTTATGAGGAGTTGATTTATTTCATTTGTTGATGCAATAGTTCGTTCTCTAATTCAACATTATTAAAGATTACATTGATAGTTGGTTATATCCATGAAGTTGATCTATTGAAAATAAATTGCTCGCAAACGCCTCACAAGATTGCGAGATTCTCATCTAATGTATTAAATGTACTTAATGTGTGAATTTATTGGAAAAAATAAGGATAAAGTTTCAAGGGCTCTTTTCAATATCTAGTGAGCATCCGGAAAAACAACATTTCACAGGTTTTTCATAGAGGTTTTCGGTATGTTAGTTTTTTAGAAAGAGTAACATGTCCACCAAATTGGTTTGAGTTTATAAGTCGATCTAAACATTGTTCAAGGGTTCTTTTCAACTTCTTTCGCTCAAAGTCCACCAAATTGGTTTGAGTTTATAAGTCGATCATTTTATGCAAGTTTTTATCACGATAGTAGCATTCACTTTGACGGAGATTTTTTCGATGATGGATATAGTTACCCATGTTATGAGGTTTTTGATTTTCTTGATATGGTTACTCAATTTTATAGGTTGACAAGCGATATTTTAAATTGAAATTCATTATATATTATTTAGATCATAAGCACATCATTTGCCACTAACAATTGTAGTCTCTTTTTTAATTTATATTATTACCGACAAAAATCCTAGTTACTGGAAAAATATTCATGTTGAGAGAAAAGTTATGAATTTATGTTTTTTAATTAATATAATCATTTTTAGTTAACATTCTCTTAATTGATGTATTGTTTGTTTGAATTGTTTCTAATATATATTCATAAAAGTTAAATCATCAAAAAGTACATACTACAACTACAAATCGAGCAATTACATTACAATTAGCTGGTATGCCATGAAACACCGCCATTAGCAGGGAGATGAGTTGATACTCGGAGGTAAAGTGAAAAGAAAAGTATGTCAACCATGAGACTTGAATTCTCAACTATTTGGTTGAAAAACATCTTTACACTACACCTAATATGGATTTAAAAATAGAAAAAAAAAAAATAAAAAAAAAAAGACCTTTGGTTTGTAATTCATATATGATGTATTGTAGTTTTGACTACAGATAAATCTTTATATTAATCTTTATATGTTGTTTGCTTGCTTTCTCATGTAGCAATGAGGATCAATCGAAAACTCCACATTCCTCTACATTTTGGGATAATTTGAATTATTTGTCTTTCCAAACCCACTAGATATAAAACCAATACAAATCAGATGTGTTGAACAATTTGATCTTATGTAAAACAACAAAATGATGATTGGAGAAAACCTTCAAAGTGAAAGTTTTGAGGATTCAAACAACTTTGTGATCATCACATATTACTTGTGATCATCACATATTACTTGAGAAAAGATAATGAGACTGACTCTATCCAATTTTGGTTCCATATAGATATTAGATATATATAATCTAAAACTCAACATTCATCACAAACGAAATTGGAGGTAATCTCTGCATAGATTAGACATAAAGATGAATCATGAATTGTAAACAAGAGCATTTACTTGTGAATCACAGCCATGTAATCTCTAGGTTTGTGGCTGTTTTTGGTCAAAATACAGAAAAGGTTATACGTGTTAATACTACCATTTTATATGGTCATTATATGGAATAGATGATAGTGGATGAAACTAAAATAAAAAACATTGTTCTACTAATGATGATTCCATTCCAATCATGCCATACTGCCTAATCGATTGATGTAACAATTAGGTGAGTCCACACAAAGTGGATCATAATCATAATTCATCACTATACCCTTGACTTTTGACTTTTGACTTTTGACTTTGATTTCCACATAAAACAATTAAAAAACCACAAATCTATATATCATTTAAAACGCGTCCAACAAACATCAACAGCAGAAAGAGACATAAAAACGAGATCATATCTATACTAGCTTATGAATGTTTTATAAAGTTTGATCAAAAACCTACTCAACCATCAAGATTTTATCATACCATATCATTCAAACATCTCTTGCCAAACCCGAAAGATCAACATCTCCATCACCTGTGTTGGGCTTAACAGCTTTAGGAGGGTGAGACTGAATGGGTACAGTCGATTCTGAAGATTTGGAATACCCATCATAAAGACTAGAAGGAGGAGAAGGAGACCCGAAAATGGATTTTGAATCTCCTTCTCCTTGGTGTAGCTGAGGAGAACCCCCGAAAAAACCAAAAAGCCCTTCAGCAGCCTCGAAGAAACGATTCATGTTCCCAAACAGACTTCGTTCAATTGCTTCTATATCAGTGCGTAACCCAGGGAAATCAAATGGTGTAGCAGGTTGTTGTGATGACTGAATGGGGAAAAAAGATCCTTTTGTCATCTGTTCAGTCACATCTTCTTCTGTGTATTCCTTGTTAGATTGCACCACTTCAGATCGTCTGAACAGATAATGGAAAAGGTATCATACCAAAACTCAAAACTATAGTGTGATTTATATCATTTATTATACCTATGATTGCCCTAAATTGAATCTTTGCACACCTTCAATTGGTCGGTGATTATACAGCTTATAACAAATGTAAAGATGATAGCTATAGATTAACAGAAGAACGTGTACGATAAAAACCCTAACTACCAGAATCACAACTTCGAACAGATGATCGCTATTCATCAAGAGCAATAATATCAGAAAACGGAACTGAAACTATAAATAAAAAAGAATTACCTTCCAACGGAGTCTCTAAGAAGTTGCTCGGTTTTCTCGCATTTTCTGATGAATTTACCAGGCTCTACCTCCTCCGTTCTGCACTGGGAAGAGATAATCTTCCTCGTCGAGCACCCAGCATCAGATCTAGGGTTCAAATCTTTGAATTCGGTGATTTCACCGGAGTTCTGATCATCGTCGTCGTCCTTCCATACCCAACCCATGTTTCCTTCTCTTTTGCTTCTCGCACAATCCAGAAACGTCGGTTTATATCAAGGGAAACCAACCAGGCGCTGAATATTTTCTTATAAATTGCAAATCAGCCCCTAAAGTTTTGAGGTTTAACTTCACACCCTTTAAGTTTCTTTTATTGAGTTAATACCACACTTTTTCATGGTCATAGTTTTTTCTTACAAAATAACTGAACAAACCAAATACGATGATTTCCATTTCTATAAATTATTCAGAATCAATTGTTCTTTAATTCTTACAAAATACAGAACAAACCAAATATAATGATTGTCGAATTAATTCACTTTGCTCTTTGAACGGTTGAAAAGACCAAAATACCCTCAATAGTAAATTTATCGTAAGCCATGTTTGTTGACATAAATGGGAAAAAAAAAAAAAAAAAAAAAACTGAAGCATGCATCCAGCATCCTCTTTACTCACTTTAATTTTCTTTTGTTTTTCTTGATTTCTTGAAGCCCATTTGAAAGGCAAAAACACGAATCTAGAGCTTCTTAACAATCTCTTCCTTCACCCGTTGGTAGTATGTCATTCTTTGGATTGATTTTATAGCATCATCATACTCTTTACTTTGAAAAGCATTTGCAAAACAATTATACCAATGGCTCAATTTTTCATCCATCTACAAGAAATACAGATTGAATAAAAAGCTAGTTAAAGTAGCTGAAAAGCTAGCTTTATAAAAAGATAACTTATTTATAACCGATACTGCTTTTTCCACAAGTTTTCCAAATATATCCTTATATGTTACTTTTTAATTATATATATGAAAATGTCATTTTATATCATTATACATTTGTCATCTAGCTTATGATAGCTAGTTTTTACCAAACATTATTACCTGGGATTGGATCTGGTTTAGGGCTTGAGAATCATTGGCATCTTCCACGGCTTCCCTAATTTCCATGATCTGGGAGCAGAACATGAATTCAATTGTGGGTCCCATTATACAAGGCAAAATGAAAATGGGAACAACAAAATTAAAAAATCTAAACTCTCAAAATTACCTCACCCAACAATTCTGGTTCTGAGACAGTTTGTTCTTCATCTACTTCAACACCCTCAAGCCTCATCTGTGAAGGTAAAAAAGAAGATTCAAAACCAGTTAATTTGTGTGAAACTGTAAATTAGAATTAATCCTTTACTTACTATGTAAATTGCTCGTGATAATGGTTTACGAAGTGTAGTATAAGCATCGATAACCCTAGCAGATTGTTCAGCTGCATACTCTCTTTCTTCCTACATAACGAATGTGTGAAGTGATATAATAACAATGGTTCGAATTCAAGCAATTGGTTATTCACAGACCTCGGATTTTGTGTGAACTAAATCGGGGTGAAGCTTCTTCTGCCAGTCTTTATACTTCCCTTCCAAGCTTCCAACTTCAATGTCGAACTTCCGATCTCTGTCATATGAAGATAGTAACTAATGGAGTCTAAAACGCTAAGAAAATTGCGAAAATCCGATGAACTTCGAACAGATGATTACTCGGTGATTATATATAAACAATTCAAATGAATTTCAAGTTTGTTTATCAAAAATTTGATCAGAGAAACGCGTATTAGGGCATTTTAAACGCTTACAGCCCAAAAATGTTGAAGTAATCAACTGAATGATCGACAGGTTGAATGCTCCCACAAGATTGACACATCAGAAACGGCCCCTGACTCTTACAATTCCAGCAGCACGTGGTGGAAGATGCTGATGAACAAAAACCGGAACTTTTTCCAAGAAATTCGGAGTTCCATATGAGGTGAATTTGGGGATTCCTTGAAACCCTTGTTTGTGCGTTAGTATTGAAGGTACAGGGACTGGGAGTAGAGAAATTTGGTTGATTTTTTAACGGGGTGATGTTTTCTTCGAGTGATTGGAGAGAAATGGATTGAGGTATGGTTTTCCGAATGAAGGTTGTCAATGGCGTTCTGAGCTGGTTTCTCAACATTTTGAGAGAGATCGATCTAAAACCCTGATGAAGCAAAACCCATGCGGAGTTTGAGGTGTTTTTGATGCCTTTAGAGTTTAAAGATCAAAATCAATTAAATCCAAAAAGACCATTTTACCCTAGTTTTCTTCCTATAATATCACTTTCTGTTATGTGGTACATAAGTTTATCCTTTACAAACTTCACAAACATTGCCCCTTTCCATCAATACAAAGTACAAACACAACCACTTTTCCTCATAATCTTTCATATTTTCATATCTAAACAATACAACATATAAAATAAAATAAAAAAACAATAATAATCTATAGTTACAACTTTCCGAAAAGAAATCCTCGATCCTACCATAGCTTTATTTATAAAAACACTAGACAAATGTATCATGTATGAATATGTTATACGTATATAAAACCCGTATAGATTCAAATAACAATCTATCAACCAACACCTCCAGAAGTGAAGCTGATGCAGCAAAATCTTTGTTTCTTCATCTTTTTCTGTGAAATACCACTTTCATCAATGTTCTTCACCTCTCCATTAATGGCATCTTTTTCTGCTAATGTTGAAGTTATCGCCTCATTTATAACAAAAGAAAAAGAACTCGGTGTATCTTCATCATCATCAAAACCATTTCTTGATTCTCCTGAGGATTTTACTGTTGACTCGTTGACTTGTGTTACAAAACGTTTAGAATCGTTTGACTTTTTGTCTTCAAGATCAGCAAACAAATTGTTAGCAAAACGGGATAAAGACATGGATCTTGGATTGAATCCGATTTCTCTAAAGATAGAAATAACTTTTTCCAATGTTCCTAAAGCTTGATTTACTTCTGGACTTATAATAACTTGTTGTTTTCTTCCAACAATAATCTTTTTGTTTGAATCCTCATTTAGTTCTTTCCCATTATTACTATCTTCATGTGGTTTTTCACTTTCTTCAATCTCCTCGATTTCACAAACGGGATTTTGAGTTTTCACTTCTTTGATATCTTCATCTTTTTGTTGTTCTAAAATGTCATGAACAATCTTGATGTCTTCTTGTTTTGAAACCCCATTTGATTCGTTGTTTTCTAAATAAAGTGCTTCACGAATTCGATGATAACATGGATCTTTTAAAGCCATGCTAAAATCTTCATCACCTTTGCACACGGAAGCAACTTCCTGTTGTTGAAAATACAATTAGCATGAATTTGATCTCAATCTTTTGTGTCAAATTTGTTTGTTTATTTGTTGTAAAGTTTCTTGAAACTACACCTTTTTATAGAGCTTAAATCCGCTACCTATAAGTTGTCTTGAAACAAAGTTGATAATTGTTGGAGGAACAAAATCAAGTTTTATATCCATGTTTGCAATCGTCCTACAAAAATCAAAACTTTATAAACATTTTTCTTAATCGAATTCACAATTTAAAGAAAAAGAAAACAAATATTTACCGAAAATAGCTTCTGCTTGTGCTCACTTTTTGTATAGCAACACCTCCTACAATATCTATCCTAGTAACATTTTCAACATCCGGTATACCATCTTTAGTAAATCCATGAGTGTCTATATCAATGATCTCTGTCTCAGAAATCTGAAGGGTATTTTAGTCATTTCACAAATTGAGTAAAAAAATTTACATATGTAAAAGCAAATACCGTGTTCAAGAGCACTATAATGAGGCCATCTTGGAAGTAATCAATTGTAACATAATGAACCAAAGCCTCTCTTGTTGATAATGGCCATGAAAGCTTCATCCTTTCTTCCACATATGTATAAATTTAAATATCAAAATCCATGAATAAAGATCTTATACAAAGTTAAAAAAATTAAAACTTTATGTAATTTAACAAACCTCACTAAAGATATTTGTTCACCCATTCTAATCTTCTTCACAATTCCCGAAGATGTAACCTTAAAAGTCGGGATATTAAATTGAGGCCACCTGAAAAAAATATTTAAATTCTTGAAAAGTTTTCGAAATATAATTGAAAAAAAAACAACAACAATCATTTTAGTCACATTTTGTCTCAAATCATTCGTTCTTGAAACATTTAAAAGAAAGATGATTTGCTTGAAATGTTTCAAAAGTTGAAAAGTTGAAAACTTCCTCACCATTTTGGGTAGAGGCTTGCCTCACATGATATGCACATGCCTACATTCAAATATATATGTTAAGAGAGATATTTCATGAGGGCAAATATGTCAAATCTTTTTTGATCAAACTTACAAACATCTAGAGGCCCATCTACGTATCCTTCTGCTAGTAATGAATGAAAGGGAGTCCCTGTGGGCCCCTCTCTATACATAACACGGCAATCTTGATTATCGTGTTTTATCTGTCGACAAAAATGAAATGTTAACAAATAAACAAACAAATTTGACATAAAAGATGAAAAGAATCAAGAAAAATGTTTAAAAAAAAAACGTACTTTCCAACCATTATGTGATACTTCATCGACACTTCCTGAAGTGCTTCTAAGCATACCAATGAAATTGGCCACTTCTTTGGTTCTTTTTTGAACTAAATTATCACTATATTCTGTTTTATACGAAATATTTCAATCAATATACATATATACAGCTGAAATAAAGTCAAAACTAACTATACAAACCTTGATCTTCATGTTGTGATGATTTCGATAGTTGATTTTCAACAAGCTTTTTGAGGAATTCCACGTTGCAAAGATCATCGGACTTGAGTGTTTTGTCCAGTTTATCTCTGTACTCAGTTATGTTTTCTTTTCCCTCCATTTTTGTATCTTACAGCAGCAATAATCGGAAGTATGATATGATGACGATTTTCATATATAATCTAGCCTTCCCTTCATGAAAAATTACAAATTTATCATAAGAAATTAACAGAAAAACAGTCATAAAGGAAACAAGAACAACCAAAATGAGTAAAATTTGATCGTTTTATCGACACTCATACGCGAAATATTGCAAATTTTACTCGATCGTGAAAAGGGTAATGCTCAAAAATAGCAAATTAGTCGAGAATTAATGGATTCGATCAACATTTTTAGGAAAAATCTGGCGAACTGCCGATTCTGGCCAAACAAAAATAGGGGAATTCACTGTAAACCCAAATAAAGCTGAAGAACAATCTCATTTACCCTTTTAGGAAATTCGAAATAAAACAATACCCATAATCTGAAATCTCGATCAACCCACAATTCACAAAACCATTAAAACACGTCTCCGAAAATTCGAAACTTGTGATTGTATTCTGATACAGAATTGAGATGTGATCGACGAAACGAACTTACAGTTTCGGACTTTCAGATAAACATGAAGTTATTTGGAGTAGAATTAGAGGGGGTTTATGTTTATGATGCCAACAAATTGAAAATCTCAAGAAAAAAGTAAATGATTTGGGGGGATGAAAAGGAGACAAGATCAAACAATTTTAGATGATCAAGAAGGATACCTAACGTGGGGTTTTCTTGAAATCATCGGAGGGACCCGAAGCACCGTTGTATTGGTTGTAATTGTGTGAATACTATTAATGAAAGTACTACGTGTTCTTGTCAACTTCGGAAGCTTGGGACGATGATGAGTTGACTCAGAATAATCGCAGCCTTGCAGCTGTAAACTATGTGGGATGGATTTCTTCAATGCTTCCCAGTTGTTATATATATTTTTGGTGTTAATAATTAAAATAGTTATTATTTAAATGTATTTGAATTTAAATATTGTTGAAAATGTTTACTTTTACGAAAAATAGACAGCTAGGCAACTATTTAGTAGATGGTAACCAACAGCTGAAACATAATTTTTATTTCGATAAAATTAGTTATAAACTTTTAAAAGGCGTAAAAAAAATTAGTTTTCATAAAAGTTATATAAAATAGCTTATGAATTATGAGTTTATTTTCTAAAATAAAAGCTTAATGCCTGTAAGAATTAAGATCGAATAAGACCTCTTTTTAATTCGCTTTGTGCAATTTATAAAAAAGTGGCAATTTGTTTTTTTGAATGATTTGACATTTTTAATTTTTAATATATAAATGAAAAAATGCTACCATTTATCTATGGTAACTAAAAATAAAAATAAAGTTTGTGAGTATGTTTGTTTTATTGTATCAACTACTATTTCTTTTAAGTTATCTTTTACCTTTTAGGTAAAAATATGATTTTGTATAGAGATATGAGTGTCTATATTATATTGTTGGTTATCTTATTTTTAGAAAGAAAAAAAAAATGGATATTTTATGTTGTTATAACTATCTAGTAAAATATCAATCTAATTACTTTTTTTTCAAAAAAAATTTAACTTGCTCATATTTTCTAACAAGTAACATGGCCCAGTAAATTGAATGTTATAAGTTGCTTTCATAATTCTAGCACCACCAATTTTGCATATTGATGATGTGTTCAAATTACATACACTCGAATTGGATATGAAACGTCAAATGGAAAGCAATCAAGCATGACCTAATGTTTTGATCATAATATTTGTTACGTATATGAGGATTAAGTAGAAATATATTATATTCCTTTATTTGGTATATGTTATTATCAGGTTTGGTATATTTGTAATAATATTTTAATTGTTAAAATGTTATTATTAAAAAAAAAAAAAAAAAAAAAAGACACTTAATTTGGTGTGCTTCGTAATCGGATCAACTCCATGGGTTTGGGACAAATATACAAATATACGAGAAGTAAACAATTATCCTTAAAGATTGAATCTAATTTGCAACTTTCAATGTACTTTCTAATATAAAAATATTTATATTGACATATAAAATAAATTAAAATATGTGACTATTTATTAAGATTTTAAATAAAGTCGGGTATGACACGAAGACAATGTCAAACACGAGACATCATGAGTCATAACATTTTTAATACACGAATTAGAATGGTGATTTTTATATAATTTATAATTTTAGATATGCATATATATTTTCTACAATCATCAAGTTTTTTATATAAATTATAATTATATATAAATGCATATGAAGTATGAACTAAAAGCTAAGTTTCTTATTACGATGACATCAAGTGCAATTTGTGGGGCCATGACACCTGTTTGAAACCATAAGGTTGGTGTATGTATCGATTGCGGCTTCCAAAAGATAGGTGGTGATATAGCTGGGGCAACGGTTCTTTGGCCGGAGATGTATGCACGAATAGCATTTCCTTCTGCGGTTTGAGCAGCAAATGACGTCCTTCTTCTTGTACCTCGGAAGCCAGAAGTACCGGCAGAGGACCAAGAAACCACTCGCCCCCGTACATCAGTAAAAGTCACAATGGTATTATTGAAACTTGCTTGAATATGAATAACCCCCTTTGGTATTTTACGTGTACTCTTACGTGAACCAATACGTCCACGTGAACCTTTTTTTCGGTATAACTTTTGCCATATTTTATCATCTCATAAATTTGAGTCAGAGATACATGGATATACCTATTTCATGTCAAAACAGATCCCCTTCTTATTTTTATATCGGCTCTTTAACAAGGCTGATTATCCTTGTCTTTGTTTATGTCTTGGGTTGGAACAAATTACTCTAATTAGTCCCCGAAGACGGATTAGTCGACATTTTTCACAAATTTTACGAACAGAAGCTCTTATTTTCATATTTCCCACTCCTTACTTTAATTTTGAATCAACTTTTTGGAAGAAAATAAGTTTTTTGAAATTTTCTATTTTGAATCGTATTCCTACGAAATAAATAGTGAAGTTGAAAAAACACCTAATCTTTCGAATCTTTGTTTCGGAGTCGATAAATTATACGACCTCTGGTTGAATCATAACGACTTACTTCAATTTTGACTCTATCTCCTGGAGTATCCGTATAAACTACGTCGGATCTTTCCTGAAACATAACCTAAAATCATATCTTCATTATCTAAACGAACCCGGAACATGCCGTTGGGAAGCGATTCAGTAATTAAACCTTCATGAATCCATTTTTGTTCTTTCATTACAGGTAAAACCCCCTTGAAGTATCAACTAGTAGAGGAAGAACCCTATATGTACCCTCGATTCTTCATTTGGCGGGTTGTTGAACCCGTGATCTCTCTCTCTCTCTCTCTCTCTCTCTCTCTCTCCACACTGACCAATCAAAGAGGAAAAATAATTTTTTTCAACTTTTACTACAAAAATATACATATCAACTTTTAAAACAAACCACACTCAATTCTATTTTATCTCCAATTCCATTCTACGCCTCTACAATTCTATTCCACGCATCTCCAATTTCGTCTTCTACAAGAACATTTTGGTTATAATCAATACATTAAGTTTTCTCAAGCTGTTCTGAAAACCTAATTCCAATGTTCTCCTCCCGAGGTCTCCCACTTTCATAATACTCAAAACACAGAGTCTGAAGAATCTAGTAACAAACCCATTCCCGACAGAAATCAACAAGGAAGCAAGGAGCACAAACCCGTTGTCGAACACACACGATTATACAAAACGCAAAAAGTCAATGAAATGGTTCGAAAAGGAAGATGTGGTGTGACAACCGTCAATTTCTGGTCAAGTCAAAGTCAAATAAAGTCAACGAGTCAAACCGGTAAACTCAACTAGTGCTTGTATGATAGGACTCACTCTATGTTTACTAATGTACAAACTCTCTATCTTAATACAAAGTATTACTCAGAAGTTTCATAAGTTCAGAAATTCTAAACCCTAACCAGGGTGAGTGATGTAACGACTCGATGAAGCGCTATTATGTACCCTTCGGGGGAGTAAAACACTCATAACAAGGCATAATGGGGTTTACAAACCTTGCATTACCAAGCCAAACACTAATAAGGGCCACCGGCCAAATCTCTCCCAAATCTCTCTTCGTATCTCAAATCTCTCCCAAATCTCTCTTCGTATCCCAAATCTCTCCCGGTCTCTCTCAACTTTTTATAAACATCCGTACTATCCCAACCCCTTCCTTTGTTGAAAACAGCTCAAAACCAAAGGAGAAAAACCAAAAGGGACCATCTTGGTCTGGAACCCTCTTGAATCGGAACACCTACTCCTGACACTCCGGACGAACGCTCCTGACACTCCGGACGAACGCTCCTGACTCCGAACGAAAGCTCCTGACACTCCGGACGAACGCTCCTGACTCCGGGCGAACGCTCCTGACTCCGGATTGTGCTGATTCGACTCCGAAACTTGAAGGCCAACTTCGGAACTCATCTTTTGCTCCGGAAATGACTTCTTGACCCCAGAACCCTCGCAGATCCGAACCCCATTTCGGATTTTGACCATTTCGGACCCTTTTTTCAATTTTAGGAGTCTTTGACGCCAGGAACTTCCTCAAACTCACATTTTTCATCACTTAAACCCTCTAAACTTCTATTCTATGCCAAACTTGAAGAGATAGATCATATTTTCATAGAATAACGTCTAAGGCTCATATTATTTTATTCATAAGGTAATCACCCACTCTAAGTCATTATTCACACTTTACCTAGTCAAATCATTGTCCTTTTTCAACTCATCCCAACACTCCATCAGAATTTCCTTAACCAAATCCACCCAAGAGATCTTATTCCTCACCTTCAAAGTCTCACTTGCCTTCTCCAAAAACACACTTTTCCCTCTCACTTTCTTTCTCAGTCACGATCTTCTTGGCAAGAAGCATTCAGGAGATTTCCTCCATTCTAGGTAAGATCCTTCATCAAGCTCCTAAATACTCTACATTTTTCACACAAAGCATGAATTATTCACACAAATATCGACATATTTGTTCCTAGGATCTTCAAATCTTCAAGCATCTCTCAAGCGTCTTGACTTGAAACTCTCCTTCTTCAACTTACCACCTCAAGGAATCACTCAAGTTGAGTTCATACCCCTGTCTTTTCATGTTTTCTTCAAGTTTTAAGAGGGAGAATACAAGTTACAATACCAAAACATAAACTAACTCAACCATCAGCTTTCAACAGAAAAGTTAGGGTCCATTCACGAAGTGTTTTGACCATCTTAAACATAATTTTTTCAAAACCGTTCAATATGAAAATAGTTCAGGTTTATAACTTTCAAATGACTACTTGCACACATTCATACGATTTTTCTACAATTTATGGCGATTTTTACAAAACTGTCTATCATTTCAGAAAAGATTTTGGACCAGTCTGTGAAGATGGACATTTTCGCACTGGTTAGAGACCACTAAAAATTCATAATAAAAATTATGAACAAACTAGACACATTTTCTGAACTTCCAGAGTTTACGGATTTAGTTTTTTACTTTCGGAGATTTTTCTGTGATTTTTCTAAAATCAGTGACAGAAAGGTTAAAACTAGCAAAAACAGTTGACAAGTTTATTAACACTTTGTAACATGTTGAGCAAAGTGTATAACAATAATAGCTACATCTTGATTGTGTTTCATGTTAGTTTACTTGCATGAAACAGAATTAATCATTCATCATAAGGGTTTTCATTCACTACAAACATATATGATAAACTATAATAGGTATAGTTTATGGTTCGCTACACTACAAGTTCACTATGAAAGGTTCCGTTTACACTACAAATAGAATTTTTCACTCACACTACACGTAAACTCGTTAAATCGGGTTGTGAGGCACTACTTCATGGTACTCTTAGAGTACTGGTTAAAATCTTGTAGTTATAATCAAAGTCTCTTGTAGGGAGAGCGTGATACTTGTATATAGATCTATATTGGGATTGACAACCCACACCTAAGTTGCTTGCAACAGCTAGACCGGCAGGTCTTGGGTGACAAATGTCATAACAGTCCGACGCCTGAAGAACGTCGTCACAGGTCACTATGTCAATAGTATGGTTATAATAACTCACATAGGGAAATAACGACACATATAGTTTACGGGAATTCCTACGTCCAAAAAGGGGTTTTATTTATTTAAAACTGCATACACTATTATAAGTATAGAAAATACTTATACATTTCGGTCTTTGAGTAATAGCACAATATTTAACACATGTATAATTGAAATAGTCTTGTACAATTGAAATAGTCTGTAACTAGTTACAGACAATTTCAATTGTACAAGACTATTTCAATTATACATGTGCTAAATATTGTGCTATTATTGAGTCTTAAGACTGCAACTCATTTTATAAGGAAAAT